TATATATATATAATTCAATTTAGGAACAGGCATTTATAGGCACTAAAGCATGTTTGACCCTTATTAGTATAATAAAGCAAAAAAATGATAAAGCTGAAAGAGAACTGATGCACAATAAGTTGAACTGTCTGATCAGCATTGGAATCAAAACTTGATTAAAGCCATGTTTTGGCTTAGCATCAGTAGAGACTCTTTAGAAGCAGTTTGAGTAGCAAAAGCAAGTGAAGCATCAGATACTGAGACAGTGAAGCCAATGCCACGTTGCTTCTCATATTGCATTATTCGGTAAAACACCTTGATAATTGGAGGAATACGAATTGTTGGAAATATTCATGAAGACCCATCAAGAAAAGCATCATATACTTGGTATAGTTGTAATGAAAAAGTGGTCTGATTCCCCACAGGTGCTATAACTGTTGCATTGCCTCTCTTATGCCACATTAGAAGATGAACAAACTGAGAGAGAAGGAGAATTGGTTCACATTGATATAGAAAATTAACTGATCTTAGCATGTGTGATGTTTTAGACTTTAACTATGGCTAATTATCAAGAATATAAGCCTATTATTTATTAAGTCAAACAAGCCTATTGTACCTTCTGAGAAATCTTTAAGAAATGGGAAGAGCTGAAACCAGGAAAGTTATGGAAGAAAATTTACATAGTTTCTATTTCTCAGTTCAAGTTAATATGTTAAATAACAAGATTTTTGATGTGCAGAAAAAAAAAATCGAAATATGTTTACTAACTGTCAGTAGTTTTTTTCAAGTTGTTAAATAGTGATAAACATTATATACACAAAAGAGAAAAAGAAAGCGTCTGAAGATTGGCTTAACATGCTGTTGAAAACTGTCGACTTTCTTGACTGATTCCACAAGGGACAAATGTTTCTTTGGCAGCATAACATAGAAAAAGAAGTGTCGGCAATATTGATTGATTCCATACAGTACAAAGGTTTAAGATAGATTTGTAGAACTTCCAAAGACGTCTTATCCTATGCTGAATTCCCAGTCTACAATATAAAAAAAATCCATTAACAAAAGCTTACTTATATCCCATTATTCAGTTTCCCATGATGCAATAGAGGAACCTGCCACACTTGCTTTATTTAATATCCTAATATTTTGGAACATGTGATTTTACATCTCTAGAAAACGGCACGTGGATTTGAGAGGGAAAAATAAAAATAAGAAAAAAAAAACCCTTAATTTAGCAAGCCATACTACTCATCTTAATTGAAAAACTAAGGAATTTCAGCCCCAACAGAAAAATCTATTCACATTTTCACATCAAACAATAGCTTAGCTTGTTCATGTACACACACTCAAAGAGGACACACAAATTCTCCACTTGTTTCTACATCCTCAAGATCTTCTTCATCAGCCTCCAAGTCATCCAGGTCCATGGTGCCCCCATTAAGAAGGCCACCAACAATTGGAACATTAAGAGATTTTCTTGCCTCTTGTACTATAGACAGCACTTCCTCAACACTTTGTGATGGATTATTTACATCATTTACTTGCCAGCTTCCAGTTTCCATCAGTTCTATGGGTAAGTTCCTTAAAAACCATGGATGGTTTTTAATTTCTGGTATTGTTATTCTCTGTAAAATGCCTTAAATGGATCAATACAATGGGAAAGGAGTCTAAATGCATTTCAATACAGGAAACAATAAGCATTGCTAGAATTGTGCCCAAAACATGAAGAAGCCAAAACCTGGAACTATTAAGTTAGCTGAGAATAAATATGAAGAGCATCTATATAAGCATTTTGCTCCAGAAATTAAGCAATTAAATCTTTTATCTAATAAGTATTTTATAGATGCAGAAAACAATTAAGATTCTAGATATTAAATCCGTTACCTTTTCAGGACTTGCCACAAATATTTGTGATAGAAGATGTCTACATTCCATGGAAACTCGTACATAATCTGGGACTGAGTACTGGACACTAAGTATCTTCTGTATAAGCCACAAAGGGTCCAATTGAAACACCATATCGTGAGAAAAACTCTTATATTAATACTAAAATTGTTTAAGGATTCAACAAATTTGCAGCCATCAGTTATTTTACTCACACCAATGGTTTTTTTGAAGTTTCTTGGGTCTGCAGGGTCTTCAAAAGGATAAGCCCCAACTAACATCACATATAAGGTGACTCCACAAGACCATACATCTGCAATCTATAGCTTCCAATGAAAACTTATAAGTAGAAAATAAAGCAGCAAGGACCACATGTATCTAAGTTACAAAAAGCCAAAACCAAAGCATAAGCAATGAGGAAAAACAAGACCTTACCTTTCCATCATATTCTTTCCTTGTAAGAACCTCAGGTGCAATATAAGCTGGAGTTCCTACCGTTGACTTAGGTTGAGAATGCAATACTGATGACTAAACACAAGAAAATAATAAATTAATGTCACATGAAGAAGGGCATCATCATCTAAAGCTGTAATCCTTGTTAACATTATATACTACCTTTGAGTAACCAAAGTCACAAATTTTAAGTCGTGGAGCAGTGCTTCCATCCAAGAGTGTGTTTTCAAGCTTCAGATCTCTATGACAAATTTGCTGCATAGACATTACCATAAATATCTGTTCTTTGTGAAGGAACATGGTTCATGACACATGTTAGGTTTAGTTTCATACCATTGAATGACAGTAACTGACTCCAGATATCAGTTGCTGAAAGAAAAATCTTGCCTGGTAAAAAGTAACAAGGACTTGAGGACCCAAGTTCTGAATGAAATAATGCATACACTAGCATAACATGACCAAATTAATAAAAGTGTAGTAGACTAAGTTCAACTTTTGGACTTATCAAATGGAACCTAAACAACAATATAAAAACTAGACAACATTATACTGAAATAGATCTAGATAAACTAATCAAATAGTACCTCACTTTCTATATTACCTCATCCTCACTGAATCTACCAGCATTGCATATCCTCTCAAATAGTTCTCCTCCAGAAGCATACTCCATTACTATTGCTAGATGAGTTGGTGTCAGCAAGACCTACAAGTAGACTCATCAAAGCTCACGCAAAGGATCTTTTTCCTTCTTTTGAAACTGATTGGAATATGATTCCAATTGTAAGTATGTTCAGATTGTAAAATACCTAGTGCATAGTTCATCATAAAATTTAAATTTTTTCCGAACAGAAGCACAAAACATTAACAATACCATTCACAAAACACAGGAAAAGGAGAAAATAAAAAATAGAAAATTAGAGAAAACTAAAATGTAGGATGGGTTTTTCTAATCACACAGTCTAAACTAAAAACATCAAGGGGGCAAAAAAGAAAACTGAAAAAAAAAGTGGATAAATACATCCGAAAAAGTTTGGTGCGGGGACCTTTGTATTATGCTAAATTCAATTCTGATTCCCAACCCACTTCAATACATGGTAGAATAACAAAACAGGAGACCAAAATATAAAAAGTATATCAATATTCAAAGTCATAATGATGAGTGTTTCCAAAGCTAACTTCTCAAGTTCCCCATCTTTCATGAGTGGTAACTACTTTCCACCACCACCACCACACAATCTTTGCATCTCACATTCTCATCTTTTCTTTAGGCCAATATTCAGATCCTCAAACGTTAAAAAACATTTAACGATAAAAAGTAGTCAGAGAATTAAACCAAGAATGCTTAAAATATTACATCTAAATAGCACAGATTAACAAAACAGAAAGGCTGTTCAAAAGTAGGATGAAGACCAAAAGCGAATTTTATATTTTGCAGAATTTCATCATTGAGCTAAACATAAAACCAAAAAAATAGAAGCCACCCTTCACTCATTATTAGAAGTGTGAGTATTCTTTTACTAACCTCCTTGAATCTAATAATATTGGGATGCTTCAATGATCTATGGTTCATGATTTCCCTCTGAACATGCTCATCAATCTGCAGCCCATATTCCAATGTCCCACAGTGAGCAAAAAAAAAACACATACCCAGATGAATAATTTGCCAAAAAAGAGAAAAAGAAACAAAGTTATGCAACTGAAATTGAAAGGACGAAGAAGATGAAGCAGACCTTCTGGCCTCTCTCAATGAACTTGACAGCAAAAAGCTCATTGGTGCGGTTTTCCCTAACCAGTTTGGCGACAGCAAAATTCCCAGAGCCAATATCTTTGAGAATCTCATAGCGCTCCATGTTTTAGTATTGCCAATTTCACTGCAATTCAACTACACTACACACCAGTGTGCTGCGTTTTTTAACATAAAAGGAATGAAGAATTAAAAGCCAAACTCAAAATGAATGTCTTATTCATACGAGACAGAAAAGTAGGTTCTCGGGTTTGTGAAAATGCCCATCAAGTCTTAATAAAGACGGAATCCAACCCACCCTTTGACTTCAGTACGAACGTTGCTGTCCACAATCACGGGGTGACAAATAGGAAAACAGAGAACAGAAAAATTCGAAAAAGAAAACAAATGCATAAATCAAACTCATAACATTTGACACGTTTTGAATTTAATTATGAAAATAGGACAAAACATAATTTTTAAGATGTTTTTTTTTTGGTATACTATTTTCCAATTAAAATTAAACTTCCTGTTCATATCTACTGCTGAACTTCTTAAATGCTGCCTCTTTCTAAGAAATTGCTTACTGGGTTTCCTAGTTAGGAAAATAAACATATTAATATTTCAGAATGATAAAAAAAAAGTACTGTATTTTGTACTTACTTTTATTAAATATTTTCAGCCAGTCATTTGTTGAAAACTTAGAAGAACTTGTGGTAGAACTGGTGTGTGGAAAAATATTCCTTCAAACATTTATACTTCTATTTATTTTTAGGTGACTATTTCTGAGGCAAAAAAATATTATTTCTAGTTTTTAGCCATACTTCTATTATTGTTAGGTAAGTATTTATGACCAAAAGACTCTTCTTAATTTGTATGCTTCTATTTTTTTTTTTTGTAATATTTAATGATATCAATACGAGTGGTGAAAAGAATTTTATTTTTAAAAAATTAGTTATGTAGATACGCTACCTATGTTTCTTGTATATATATCCAATCTTTTAAAATTATTTTTTATGTTAGAATACGAAAAGAATAGTTGTAATTTACGATTAAAAAAATAGTGATGGCTATCCAAATTTGTCTTCCTCTTTCACTTGCGCTTCTCTGATAATTATTCGCTCTGTAATCAATTCTCAAGACTTAACCATGAAGTACTTTTAGAGGCAATTAAAATTTTATTCTCAAATTTACTAATAATTTGGATCATATTTACCTATAAAGATTTCAATGATTTTAAATTATACTATTTTGACAATATAAGAATTTTTCGACAAAGAACGGTTTTGAGTAATGACATATAGATCATCGGATTCTCACAATTAATTCCCATTACTATAAAACGGTGAATTCGGAACCAAAATGTTGGATTAATTTCAATTGTTCTAAATGAAATTGAGGTACCTACATATTATTTTTATTTAATCAGTTTTAATTGTATTTTGTATTTGGCTAGAATATGATTAGTTTCTTAATTTTGAATACATAGTTTTAGTTTTGTATATTAAAATAAGATATTTAGTTTTGTATATTCTCAATCAGTAATTTTAGTCCAAATGTTCGCATTAAGATGTTATTTTAATGTGGACTTACAGGTGATACTTTCTACATGAGGTTAAACTTAAATTATTTGTTTATTTCAATGTCAATAGAATTATTTTAGCAATTACTTTCCTGTTATTTGCACAAATAAAGTGTGTTAACTGGAACCCATATCAAAAAATTATTTTAGACAATTAGACAATTAGATTAAAAACATTATTTTCAAAATTGTGGAGACCAATTGAAGAAAAAAAATTGAAGGCTAGAATTGTCTTTTTAGCCACTTTATTTTGGAATGAGTTAAATTTTGTTTGTTTTTTTATATTGTTTCCTTGAAACTCTCAAATTTTTATTATTTTTAATAATTTAAATAAGAGGTTTGCTAACTTATGTAACTCCTTAAAATAAATTTAATGTAAAAATAATTATGATAAAATTTAATGTAAAAATAATTTTAAAACTTAGAAAAAGAAGTTTAGAGAACTTAAACTGAGAATTTTAAAATCTGGGATTACGATATGAGGAGGAACATTTTTCAATTTCTTATTTAGGATGAAATTTGATGGTTACATAGAATGGTTTAATTAATTCAACATAGTACATAATTTTGAATATAAAAGACCTTGAAAAATTTATTTAAGTAGCAGAGAATTAATGGAAACTATTTATTTAAATTTAAAATAAGAAAGAGGAAACTAAAGCAAAAAAAGAACAATAATGCGAATGAAGGTGTTTACGTGTTAGTCAAGAATAATCATCTTAAAATCACTCTTTCTATATCAGTCAACTTAAAAGAAAATGGATGGTTTTACCAACATTATCCTACATAGTGTAAAAATGCCGTAGAATTAATAATGTGATATTTATCGTTGTCTCGTTAAAAAAATATCTAAGGGTCATATTAAATTAAACGATGCATTTTTTTTTTTTTCAGAAAGTGCAACTGTACCAGCTAAAAAATTAAACAATGTAAAAACAAAACGTTCATGGTTTTATTTGTTCTGTATCTATGGAAGAGTTGTTTTGGACAAAGATAAGGTCGTCATTTTGGATTTTACAGCCGAAGATAAGCATGCCACCTTTCCACCTAATCTTAATGTTATAAAATTTCAAATGCATTTGGCATTTAATAAAATACAAGATGGCTATGAAGCATGCAAGGATAAACATTCATTAGTTGTTCAAGCAAAATTACATATAGTTTTTTATTTACATGTACGGGGAGTCTTCACAACAAACTTTTTTTTTGTCAACAAACACATTTAAACGTGAGTGAAATATGATTTTTTTTTTTCATCAGACTCTTCGATCATAATTTAAAGGAAAATAAATTAAGTGTAATTAATTCTGCATTTAGTCCGAGGACTTTTATTATCCGTTTGCGAATCAATTCATCTATGTTGCGGCCAACCGTAGTGACTTGGGACGCTAGGGTTTCCAAGGTGTATTTTTGCATTGGTTGGCTATCGTCTAGAAACGTGACCTTTTGTCGTTTGGGTCAGTTTCATGACCTCAAAATATTGGTTGATATGATTACACTGCTTCTCCAGGTTTGGCTTTCTCTACTACGAGGTGGGTTGCTTGATTACTATCGGTTAGGACAAGGCACTGGCATTAGCCGAATTTATTGGGAGCACATATGGTGACACGAGGGTATAAGAGGTTTTTGCCTCTTTTGGGTTCGTCGTGACGATGATGATTATTCATATGCAAGGTGGACACGACGATTCCGAACATATTTAATGTTTTTTTGGTGTAACCAAGATGTTGTAAGATGTGTTTGTCTTTACTATATAAAGTATTTTCCAACGAAACCGAGCAAATGTTATAGATAGGGTTGAATTAGGTTAGTAGGAATATCCAACTTCTTGAAGGCGTGCCAAAATAGAGATTGGTTGAGCTCCCTCGGTCTATGAAGATCTTATGAACTCGCTAGTTGGTGATGGTTGTAGTGACGACCACTGGATTGTCTTGATTTGGGTCATCCAAGCATATGTCCTCGTCGAAGAAGGTTATAGAAGGTAAGAGTCATGGTGGGAACTGGTGGGAACTGGCTTACCGAGTTGATACTCCTTTGGTATCCTTTATGTTCTACTCGAGAGTTTTCTTCTCGGGTGAAACCTCCAATGATGGTCTGGATGTCACCCCTTGCTTAGGCAAGTTTGAGTTGGACAATCTAGCTTCGAATGACTGGTTGTGTAGGAATGAGATGTTGACCTTGGACGAGCTTGGGGCTTGAGATTTGGAGTACCATGTTGGGTTGGTCCCATTGTCCTCAACCTCGTCCTGTAAAATCGTCATGTTTTATTGTTAATTCATTGGCAACTGTACCAAATCGTATCAAGTAATATAAAATGGTAAGACTAAGTATCGTTTCCTAAGAGACTCGTGACACCAAACAATCGTATAGTAAATTAACTAGTTAAGACTAAAGAACGATTTCATTGAATGAAATTTAATGCAATAAAAGTAAACATAATAACTTGAATGTAAAATTTATCTTTTGAAGCTAAAACAAGAATGAATGAATGGTATTGAGATGATATGAGATGATGATGTTGTTGGGAGATTTCACCTACTTCATTTTCATGCATATTAGAACTCATCTTCTTCATTGGAATGCTAATATCGCTTACAAAATTACTTAGAACTCAATCCCTTGACTCAAAAAACCTAGCCTTGATTATTAGACAACAATCCCTTGAAAACCCTAATAACCAATTCCACATTAAGAAAAGAAGCTTAAGACAACTAAACGTCCAATTTCTATCCCTAGATAATATTTCCTTTAGGTGAAATCCTCCAAATCATGATTCCTAAGTATTTCCCAATAACAAAGAAATCCAATCATCAAGCTATGAATGGCCAAAAATATAACAAGCATTAAGAATTGGAGAAAATTACTAACATTCAATGAAAGAAGCATAAAATATTCAAAACATGTTCAACTACATAAAGTTCAGAGGTTACATCTTTCCCCAACAACAAATGAATTTAGCTCTCCATTGTCATGGAGAACCTTGGCTTACAATGGAAAATGTAAATGAGATGGAAACCCTAGAAATAGAAAAGGAAAGCTCCTGCATACCTAATCTTCCTCCAAAGGGTCAAAAATAGCGTTTCAGTGCTTATGCCGTCAAAAGATATCCACCCTAATGCGTAAAAGCCTTTAAATATATCAGAAGTGCCACATAAGCAAACGTCGTTGGCGCTCAGCGCCCCAACTGGGGGCAACCAGGTGAGACTGCGCGAAGAGTGGCGCTCAGCGCCCCCTAAGTGGGCAACTAGGTGTGCTACGAGATAACTGGCACTCAGCGCCCCAAAAGAGGGCAACCAGGTGTGGTTGCGTGACCTCCAACGCTCAATGCCCAGAAGAAGGCAATAAGGCGTCCTTACGCGACCATAAGCGCTCAGGGCCCCTAAAAAGGGCAACCAGCGCCCAGGGCCCTAGAAAAGGGCAACCAGGCGTCCTTGAGCCTTCTGCAACCTTCTTTTCTTGTACTTTTGTTGTCCTTCCTAGGTTTCAACTCCTTGATACTTTACTCATCTTCCAAAACATACCAATAACCTACAAAATTGAGGGAATTAGTGATTAAAAATCATTATGTATAACCTCGACTAACTTATTCACAAAACTCAACTAAAAACAAGAGTTTAAGCAAGCTTCACACTCAAAGAAAGTTGATTTAGTATCAAAATTGCATCACAAATAATGGTAAAATCAACTGTTA